CCCCAAAACCCCAAAACCCCAAAACCCCTCATATTTAGAAATTTATAGAATTTGTGCAGAAATTTAATTTAAAATGTCAGACTCAGACGATGATCTCCCTCCTCCTCTTGAGGATATGACGGAAAAGGTTGAGAAAATGTCGATCAGAAAGCAAAACTACCTGAATGTTGTAAAGGACAAAGAGGAGAGCAAAAGTTATTGCTCCTCTGATTTTTCCCAACCTACTGTGTAATTTAAACTTTCCTTGGCTTTCACATCATCTAAATTATGTACTTAACAACAGCTATAGAATCCCTTCATCAGAAACTGTGATTCAGGCTAGTGATGAACTGAAGGAAGCCCCTACAAAGAAGTCATCACCCCCTGCTGTCAAGAAAACGACCAAAAAGAAGAAAAATGCTGGTTTTGGAGGTTTTGCTACAGGCTTCCTGAGCAACCCGCCTCCTAAGAAAAAGAAGAAGACCAAGAAGGAACCGGAAATTGAAGATATCTCCCATATTAAGGCTAGTAAAGAAGATAGTAAGGAAAGCCTAAAGTTCAAAGAAGTGCAGGATAATATCAAGAATAGTTCTGAAGAATGGTGAACTCCTGACTTGCTTTCCAAGATCATTGGGAATCCCACACTAAGGAAGGCCTTCACAGATCCAAACTATAAGCAATGAATAGAGATGCTACAGAAAGATCCTAAGGAAGCAGTAAAGCAGTATGGGAGCAATCCTGAATTCGTCAATATTATGACAGAGTTTTCCAAAATGATGGGCACTCATATGGAAAAAGTAGCTGATGAGCAGAAGAAAAAGGCTGAGGAAGCAGACCCTGCTCTTGCAGTTATTAATAATGACGAAGAAGTTAAGCAGATATTACAAGACCCAAAAGTAGATGCCTTCCTCAGACACCTACAGACATCAGGAGGGGCTGATCTACACTATGTCATGCAAAACGATCATTACCTAGGAGAGAAGTTGAAAACTTTGATTCAGAAGGGAGTTCTTAATGTCCAGAGTACCCCCTTCTAGAATTTCAATCATATGAACACTAAAGGGGTTTTGGGGTTTTGGGGTTTTGGGGTTTTGGGGTTTTGG